AGATGAACGTCAGGGGTTCAGGGTGAACCCTTGGGCGTTATCACTGCCATCATTCCAGTCAAGTCACATGTCACTTCTGACGCCTGTTATTGGACAGGGACGGGGGGTTTTTACATATTTTAAAGCACTTATCGACTCGTTCCTGGATTCTCATCTACACTTGCTGCTGGGATCTGCAGGAAGGAGAAGATCACTTCAGCTCTAGTTCAATTGTTCTGTGGTAGAAACCCTGTTCCCAACAATATTCACTTTGATTCCAGGACCATGGATTCTGACAGTTCTCTGGACGTGGTGAACTCTGCCCTGTACAGGTACAAGAAGACAAACTTTCTGTTTAAGGACCCAATGAGACCCAAGGACCTGGATGCTCTCCTGGACCTGGAACTGCGTCCAACTGACGTCTTCGTGGTCACGTATCCAAAATCAGGTATTGTGGCTCCATTGTTTGTCTCTGGGACATGAAGTCGCTGGTCCACCTGGTATCATGAAGATCCAGATGGTTCTGATGGTTCTGTGTCTTTACTCCCTGCCTTCTGAGCTCCGTAGGTACGGTGTGGATGCAGCAGATCCTGGTCCAGATCATGGACGCAGCTCACCCTGAACAGGCAGAAGATCTGATCAACAGGAACCGTGTTCCTTGGGTGGAAGACAGGCTTTTTGATGAGCCCTTCCGAGATCGTCCTGATCCTCGGTACTTTGGCTCCCACCTTCCGGTGGACATGTTGCCGCGTGATGTGAAAAACAAGAATCTGAAGGTGCGTGGACATTTTTACTTTAGTCCAAAGACATCAGGAAAAAAACGAAGGTGTTAAACACGCAGGTTTTTCCTCTCAGGTCGTGTATGTTTGGAGGAACCCCAGAGACGTCCTGGTCTCCCTGTATCACTTCTCCGAGGCCTGGGTCTTTCTGGAATCACCAAAGAGTTTTGAGGATTTCTTCCAGGACTTTCTGAACGGTGATGGTAAGTTCAAAAACCAACGTCGTTAACGAAGAACAGACAGAGACAAAAAACCAAATGTTCGTCACTTCCTTCACACGACATGTTTACTCAGTCAAGTTCTTCAGATATGATCTCTCCTGGTTCTCTCTATTATCCACATCTTCCTAGAGGACGGAATGACTGTATCACTAAGGTCCACCAGAGGGTGCTATCTAGACAAGAAACTCCAGCCTTTGTCTGCAGCTTGACTTCTAGAGAAAACGTTTCTTTCTCTGATGTTTTGAGAAGAACAAACCTTTAATCTGACGACACTTTAAGGCATCAAAGTGATTCTTTTTCCCAGTGTACATGGGCTCATGGTTCGATCATGTGAGAGGATATCAGGCAGAACGCGACCGACTCCAGATCCACTTCATGAAGTTTGAAGACATGTTGAAGGTTTGAATTTCCTTTTTTTTTTCAACAGACTGAGATTAACTGATTCCGTCAACATGAGCATCTTTGAAGCCAATTTTATTTTCTATTTTTCTCTCTGTTAATCTCCTAAATGTTACAGACTGAGCACACATCAAGTAATGTCTCTCTTTGTCCTGCAGGGGGCGCACTTAACATGTCTTTCCATACTCCATACTGTGCCTTAGATTCGATTCAGTCTTTATTTTCCACCAAGAATAAAAAAATAGTTTTTGGGACCAACGAGAAGGAAAACAAACCTGCACTAATGAAACAGTTCTGGAAAAACAAACACAACAGTGTTTGTTTTTTATATCGATGAGAACATTGACTGTTTGTGTCTGTGTGATCGCCAGGACCTGAGAGGAGAGGTGGAGAAACTGTGTCTGTTCCTGGGACATTCTTTAACAGAGGAGCAGATGGACAGAGTGGTGGAGACCTCCACCTTCAACAACATGAAGGTCAACCCTAAGGCCAACTACAAGGATCTGGTGGAGAAGGAACGCTACTCCAAGAACACCATGCGCAAAGGTTTGTTCCTCACAGGTTTCACACCCGTTTGTTTCCGTACCATTTTCTGATATGTTTGGTCAACAGCCAAGGTGAAAGTTCATGACCTTTGACCCAGTTGTGCATGTCTGTGTCCGTACAGGTGTAGCAGGCGACTGGAAGAATCACTTCACAGTCGCTCAGAATGAACGCTTCGATCAGGTTTTCAAGGAGAAGATGAGAGACGTCTCTCTAAGCTGCAGCTGGGAGTAGAATCAACCAGTCTGATCAATCAACCAGTCTGATCAATAAACCAGTCTGATCAATCAACCAGTCTGATCAATAAACCAGTCTGATCAATCAACCAGTCTGATCAATAAACCAGTCTGATCAATCAACCAGTCTGATCACGCTCTCATCCACATTTATTTGATTTGGAAAAAAAATCTCTAGATGTCTAGAGATTCACTAAACCACAGAACACATGGTTTAATGCTGTAATACCAGAGAGACTAGAGTGGGTTCTCAATGGAAGTCAATGTTTTTTTTAATGAAACTCAATGGGTTTTAATGGAAAACAATGGTTTTCGAGTGGATGTCAGTTGGGTTTAAATGAAGTCAATGTTTTTTTTAATGGAAGTCAATGGGGTTTATCCAGTTTGACGCAGAGACTCCAGATGCTCAAGGACGCCTGCAATAAATACACCTTTAAATATTTTGCATATGTTTTTATATATTTATACATATATATGTATATATATTCAAGAACAACACATTTAAATATGACAGTACAACAAATGTTGGGCTCAAAAAAGAAAGATAAATGTTTAGACAAAAAACACAAAGAATATTCATATATATTATTTAACATATATATGCACTTATGTTAGCTCTAAAACCGTTTGCTCGGAGAAGAACATTGTGATCAGCTGAATGTTAAAAAGAAGCTGTTAACAGTACACAGAACTTTCTGGACCAAAACCAGAAATCTCCGCACTCTCTCACCATCCCCCCACTCCCCATCACTAGATGGCAGCATTGCCATAGATCATTTTATGAATGCATATTGATAATCAGGTGGTGTATTATTATTATTATTTCTGGATTTGATTTTATTGAATTCCACCAAATTCATCTCTTTTTCTTTTCCAGGCTGATGAATGAGATTCCTGTCTGTTACATTATTGCAGTTGTTCTTGGGGCTGGGGGGGGGGGGGGGGGGGGGGACAG